CTTCATAACAGGGCATTTTGTGATTTATGAAGAAATAAAACGTTTTATAGAATGACCAGCTTTTTTAGGAAAGTGGAAAATTCCGAAAAAGCGGAAATCGGGCGTATTAGGTAAACTTAAGTTTTACATGTATAGGAAGCCCGTTCATGCAAAACCACCGAGTGAATAAAGCAGCAAAAGTAAAATTACGTTGGAAAATATTCGTTTTGTCAAGTTTTCGAATACATATGCTTCCATATTACGTGCAATATAACGTTGGGTGTTAACGAGAGCCTAAAGCTTTAGTACGTATTCTAACACGTTTTTCCGAGAACTGCTAGTCGTTTCTTTCGTTTATGCATCGCTTGACTTATGTTGGACTAAGGCACTCTCGTTTTCGCTTGATATGCCCCATCGGGAGACCACAGGAGTAATATGTTTTTAAGTTCAGGTGCGGACATGCCGGTCAGTGACCAATAAATTTAAATAGAATTTTCGGGTACAATTGTAAGCGTACCATTTTTTGTACACTAAGAGTAATTGCCTACCGCCATATTTTTTTGTAATTTTTTTGATATTTCTATTCCGAAGAGGTTTAGATCTTCCTTGAAATTCTAATTAACACTTTACGATTTTCACTGGCTTCAGCCAATTGACAGTTAATAGTGATTTTATTTTACGTACTCACCAAAACCTTCGAAATATGATAAATCTTAAAAGCATTTACCTAAATAACGAGCTCTTAAACATTTTTCTTATGCAGCTCTCTGTGTGTGTCATGGTTTCTGAACCACCCAAACATGTCAACTCATTGCCGAGAATAATAAAGGTCCATTACAAAAGTCATGAAGGAATATGCCTAAGACTATTTAAAAAAAATTCTATAACAAGTTATCTCTTGAAAGACAGCTTTAGTTATATATGTTGGCGTCAGATGTGTGCGTACTTTATTTATTTTGAAGATTGAGTCAAGCTCAGAATGGGAAATTTTGGCTATTTTATTGATTCCCCTAAAAATTATGGACAAATATTCCGTTGTAAATGAAAGATCTAACCTTTCTATATAAATCAGAACAGTTTTCGGTATATTTAGTTACTTCTTTATTCTGGATACCTAACTTTCATGAATGACACAGAAAGGCAGATAAGCATGATCAGGCATTAATGCATGCATTTACTTGAAAATTGTAGTAAATTAAATATTAATACAGGGTGTCCCAAAAAATGTATAGACATTTCATATAATTGTAAACTTGGTATTTATTGTAATTTTATCATTTCAAAAATGTAAAACGTTTTACATTTTTGAAATGATAAAATTACAATAAATACCAAGTTTACAATTATATGAAATGTCTATACATTTTTTGGGACACCCTGTATTAATATTTAATTTACTACAATTTTCAAGTAAATGCATGCATTAATGCCTGATCATGCTTATCTGCCTTTCTGTGTCATTCATGAAAGTTAGGTATCCAGAATAAAGAAGTAACCCCATGACAACTCACTCAAAT